TAAGACCCTATGTAAATATGAAACAATGTGGTTGCTTGTGGCGCAAGTGGTCTAATAAGAGAGCTTAGAGAGATATTATGTGATAAAATATAGTGTGTAACAAAATTCTAAAAATCTAACCACTTGTGTCTTCAAGTTCCATCTTCAATTTGAGACTTCTTGTAAATCATTTTTCATCATCAAAATATGTATTCCATAATGCATAAGACGTCTTCAATTTCCCCCTTTTTGATGATGGCAACTTAAACTCAAATTGAGACAAGTAAGGGTTAGTAACATAAGGTATTAAAGTAATGTAATCACATACTTCACCAAAACATATCCATACTTAGAATTATTATGCTAATTAAAAATAAGGCATATATATGTTCTCAAAACCCCCCCTTAAAATTTGCATAAGCTCATGAGCTCAATTTCATGATATTCATATTTTTTTCTCCTTTGACATCATCAAAATCATTTATAGCATATAACAAGATCAATGTTGGATAAGGCATATAACAAGCATATAATATATCCAAAGATTACCCAAGTTGTACCAAGTTTTGATTCTTTGCAACTTTTGGGCTTAGTCTAAGAGGTTCTTCAATTTGCCAATATCTTAATGTGATCTTCATCTTTTCATCCATTTCCATTTTCTCTCAAACACCTACAACATAATCTTCCACACTTGTCTTTCTTGGCACATTAGCAAGATCAAGCATTTATCATATAAAACACGTAACTTTATTTCCACAACAATTTTATATTTCATCAAGAATTGCTAATGGACATTTTATAAAGGAAGATGTTGCAAATGAGCTTGCTCTCCTATTTAGACAGAATTGAATAAAGGAGTAAAACAGAGAATTTTTAAACAATATAGGCATGTAGTGCATGAAGTAAGCTTTCTATCCACATATAGATCATCTATATTGAACATGTATAACATAAGATATGTCAAAAATAGTCCATGTATGTTAGTATAGGTACTTACACTAAAGCACAATAGTCTTAAGCATAAGTATTGCAATATTAAGCACAAATGAGAATTATTCAAGGGGAAGATATCGCAAACATCATTATTGTCCAAGTTGGACAGATTTGAGCATAAATGAATAATGGAGGATATTTCAACTTTAAAGGCATTAAATGTAAGGTAGGAGAATGATACAATTAAGCACAATATCTATACTAAGAATGTGCATCAAAAAATAATCCAAAACAATCCATACATGCTTCATTTATATCATTTAGTGACTAGGTATCATGTGCAAAAAGAATATAACAATAAAACAGTCAATGACACATGATACATACATGTTCACTAAGTCTTCTTAGGAACATATATCATGTTCTTAACCTTGGGGCTAAAGAACATGCTAGATGCACTAGGTTGATGTCTACGGGATGTTGAGGCAATGTTGCCCACATCTGTAGTCCTCTTAGGAAACCACTTAAGATTAGTTTATTTTAGGCCATATTTCTTACTATTACATCGATATATAAGATGACCACTCTTGCAACAATATGTACATTTCTTAAAAGGTAGCTTAGACATGAACCTAGGGGGATAATGGTTTGTCTTTCTTGGTTGAGCAAAGGGAGGTTTTTGAAAACCAAGTCCATATTTAGTAGATTTAACCCTTTGTCTACCAAGGAGGACATTCAAGTTGTCTCTCCCACTAGTCATTCTATCAACCATTATCTTCAACCTATCCACTTCATTAGATAATTCAATAAATTTAGCACATGAAATAGTGGAAAGGGGATTCATATCATCATATGATCTAACAAGACAATTCATAAAAATATTTTCATTTTTAAGATCCTCATTGTCTTTCATTAGATCATTTACAATGGTTGTCAAGCTATCAACTTTGTTTTGAAAGACATTTTTCACCTTTTCTAATTTTGAGTTCAATTTCTCATTTTCTACTTGCATGCATTTACAAGCATATAACAAATTATCATAAGATGAATCAACCATAGAAGAAGTATCACAAGAACTACTGTCATACATAGAGTTTGAATCATAACATGAATCACTTACTGAATCGGAATCCGACATAAAACTAGTAGATTGACTAGAATGTACCTCAATTTGATCTTTTTTAAGTGAGGAGCTTGTGGTACTTGAAGTGTCATCCGAAAATGCCATGTAAGCTTTTTTTTTTTTTCTCTTACATTTCTTGAACTTGCCATTGTCATATTTATTCTTTTTGTTCGGACAGTCCTTTTGGAAGTGACCTTCCTTCCCACACTCAAAACAAGCACTGTATGAGTTGTTTTCCTTTCTACTTGGGTTGCTGGCCTTTCTTCTCCTTTTGTTAAACTTATTGTTGAAGAACTTGGTGAATGACTTGTTGAACTTCTTCACAAACATTTTAGTTTCATCATCTTCACTAGTGCTTGAGTCACTTGAAGATGTATCAGTACTTTCCATTAAATGAGATGATGATGCCTTGATAGCAAATTCCTTTTGTTTCTTTTTGTTAAGCTCATGGTTAGCCCTTTGTGGTAGCAATGGACATTCTGGAGAGATCTTTAGCTTTATTGATTGTCGAAGCCTTTGCATCTCATTCTTGAATTTTTATCTCGATTGGACCCACACCTTCGGACAGATCTTTTTAATTAGATTAAACAAGGTCTTCAATCATGTCCCTTGCATGATAGAACAACCCCCAACAAAAATTATGGATCAAAACCAATTGAAAACATTGGCATTCAGCAAGACACAACAATAGGTTCCGTCATCGAAACGCATAGATGATTTTGGCTTCTCTGTATCATCTTTTGCTACAGTATCACTTTCTGTCTTTGTTCGCTTTACTTTTCTTTCTCTCAAGCAAATTTCAGCATTTTCTTTAAAACTGACTAATAGGGATTTCTAACTTTTCTTTCAAAATGGTTTTCAAAATGAAAAGATGTATGTGTATTGTGCTTTCTTGAAAACCGATTATAAAGAGTGTAAAAATTGGGATAATCTTTTTTCATGTTGCATGAGAAAAGATTAATTTTCTACACTCACAAAATAGAGAAGAGAAAAAAAAATAAAGAGTGGACTCCACTTTTAAATTGTGTGTGTAGGAGAAAAATATCTTTTCATGTAACATAAGGAAATATTAACCCTTAAAAATTATATATACTGTAAAGATGCTTTTGAATTTTTTATATTTTGTTTATTTATTTTTTCTCGTAAAGCTAACCACGTGACACTTTTTTGAATTTCATAAGCTGATTACATTTTCATTTCAAATGTGTAAAGCTATCTTTTTATTATTATTATTATGGAAAAATATTTTCTCATGTCGTAGGAGAGTTGTTTTCTCTTACTAGTGACTCTTCGATTTTTGAGCAATATTTTCTTTTACTTTTTTATTTTTTAATAGATGTGGGCCCCACATAAGATGTGTCTACAACATGAGAAAATTTTATCCTACTCCTACTGCATAAGAAAATCGAAACCCTATTATTATTATTATTATTATTTTTAAGAGAACCCACGTGATAGCTAAGAAGCTTACCCTAACAGCTTTTAACATGTATAGACTACTTCTAAAATTTATTTATTTTTATTTTATTTAGTTTTTAACTTTTGTTAAAACTAATTTTTAATTAGCTTAGATTTTATTTTTTAAAATAAACTCTTAACAAAAATATTAATCATTATTATTTAATATGAAATGCAATGATGCTAAACAGAAGATATGCAATGATATGTATTGGAGTTTAGGGAGATACTATATGATATATTATAGTGTGTGACAAAATTTTAAAAATCTAATCACTTGTGCCTTTAATCTCCATCTTCAATTTGAGACTTCTTGTAAATCATTTATCATCATCAAAATATGAATTCTATAATGCATAAGAGATCTTCACATATGAATATCTATCTATTAGGGATAGGATATTGTGACACACAAATAATGTTATGCACAATGTTATGACCACATCTTAACCGTTGACTTCCGCCAATTAACGGTTATCATTTTTCAAATCAAACTCATTATTAATAGAACTAAGTCACTAACCTTCTGGTTATAAATCCTTTCTGGAAACCATGTGATAGGAAATTAAAGTTGGGCCAAAGCGTCAATAGAGAAATTGTAATTTGTAAAGAATTTTTTTAACCGAAAAGTTTAAATTGTTAGGTGAGATTGCATTAATGATTTTATATTTCTCAAACGCATCCTTGCACTTAAGAGTTTATTGGGTTGAAGGGTGGATAATGAATCAGGATTATCCTACCTACCTGTGCTAAGAAACACCATTATATTTAAATAATTTTATTAATAAAATAGGGATGATGATGATCAAATTCATAGCCACTTTGTCACGTCGGCTCTGATATCATATAAAAAACTATTTTAACTCAAAAAGTTAATCTTTAGTGTTTTACGATATTAGACTTTTGGGTTAAAATAGTTCTTTATATGGTATCAAAACTTTTTGTTTAAGTAGTCATAAATTTGATTTTCACCGATCTCATTATATTAAAAAAAATATATTAAATATTGTAGAGTTTCAAAGCATAAGTAGAAGGGACTTGTGTATTCTCTATCCTTCAAGCCAATAAATTTTTGTGCGAGGGGACATGTTAGAGATATATAATATAAAACTATTAATTAATCTTTACTTGATAGCTTAAGCTTTTAAGCTGAATTCCTTCTCTACATAATTTTAGAAATTGGCCATGTTAGCTTTCATTTTGTGTTTTTTCTTCTGTGAATTTTGAAATCGTCATATAAATTCACAAAAGGAAACAAGACTAGTGATGCAGAGATAACTAGACCATTATTTATTTCTAAAGTAACACTGTATTACAAATATTAAATATCATATATTTGTTTTAAAGCTGATATAAACCAAGTTACAAACTAGTGATGCGGAGAAAAGAGAACATAATTTTACAAGACTCATTATTAATGTAAACAATTGGGGATTTATATTTTATATTAATTGTAGCTGTTGCTCTCCTTCTAAAATTTACTTTAACATTTCCTTCGCAAAGATATTTAGCCATCATTAGCAGTATGTGGTCCAATGCTGTTCTGAGACCTGGCCATTTCAGTTTCAGCTGTTCTAGCTTCTTCTCTGAATTTCTTGTATAGGTCACTTTTGTATAACTCTCTAGTCCTATGCACCAGAATGAGTGACACAAGAGCCCCTAACAAGCAAACTGCAGTGATTATAATGAAAGCCAATTTGTAGCACTCACCCCCATTGCAGTTCAACTCCTCCCCTGCCTTTCTCTTTAGCCCCAATGATGTCATTTGCTTTCTTGCTTCCCTGTCATACAGATACCCTGCAACCCTTACACTCAGCAAGTATGATCCAATTGGACTTGCTATTGACCCAACATTGTACAATGTTGAGTAATATTTAAGACCAAAAAGTTCAGATATGATAGAAAATATTAAAGGCCAGTTTGCCCCAAAGCAGAACCCAATAACAATTGAGGCTACATAGAGACCATTTGGGACGTTGAATGCAATTAAAAGGTGACCAAAACAAGATAATACAAGGAACATTGTGAGCATGATTGGCCTAGGGAGTTTAAATTTGTTTATGATAAATTCCGAGACAACCCCTTGTCCAATTTTACCTAGATGGATCCAAATGGCCATAAGGGAAATAAATGTACTTATAGTTTGTGCAGGATATCCTAAAGATTTTCCAATTTGACTTAAGTTATTTACCACAGTCAGGTTGCTACCAACTCCGCATATAATAGCAAAGAAAAGAATCACCATGTCAAGGCAAAAAATGGCTTGAAGTATTGTATGATCTTCACCCCTATCCGGGGGCCTGAGTATGTTTTGCCAACATGAAACTCGTTTTTGGTTAGTTAGTTCTGAATGGGGAGCCTGTGCAGGCTTCTCTTGATTAGGCTTTTCTATGCTTACATTCATGGGCTTTGGAGGGTCTTCAGAATTGATGTGTTCTTGTTTGCTCTTCCAAATCTTGTGCTCTTCCACAATAACAACACCAAGTGGAAGGATTAGCAAGAGAAGCATCACGGTGGTAGTGATATAATGCTCACTCTCTGTGAAGGTGAAACATTTCTGCGCTATGATTATAATCATGAGAAACACTGAAAGGACTAGTGTTAAGTAGAGGAACCTATACAAGGCTTTTGAATCATTTGGCTGCTGAATACCCCTGTGGTTCCTGATTACTGGTAGGAAAACAAAAATTGTAGCAGTTGGTAGCCATGACATAAGCAAAATTAGAGATTTTGAGTCCTCTCCATAGAAGGCATAGTATAGCTGAGGGATGATTGCTGCACTCAAACCCAGATACCCACTCAAAATTCCCAATACAATGCCTCTGATTCCAGGGAAATTTTTGACAGTGGTAACTAGAGTTCCAGTGTTGGTGAAACAATGAGAATTGGCTCCAATAAAGATGTACAAGCACATGTTCCACAGTTGGGGTTTTGCAATTTTTCTGGTCACAGTAAGCCAAATCATAGAATACCCAAAAAAATTGAGAATCCCACCAATAGTTAAGACAACCCAAGGTGGTGAGACCTCGTTGATTAGGCCTGAATGAATACCAATGTTGGAACCCAAGTCTTTGAAGAAGCCCAACAAATTGAGAGTGGATTGGTCGTAGCCTAGAACTGACTTGATTTCTCTTGAGTAAAGGCTAAACATGTAGCTGGCTCCTGATACTGACATTATCATAAATGAAGAAAACACCATGAACCACCTCCCTTTAAGGACTTGGAGTGCAAAGATTTTGTTTCTTCCCCATCTATTTGCATCACATCCCTGATTTGGTGTAGAGAACACCATTTTTCACACTTCTAAGTTTCAGCAGATAGCTAGAAGCTTAGCACTTCTTTGTAAGGGAGATGTGCTTACGGTGTGTTTGGTTTGAGGATTATGATCAAATAGATAGGCAAATTAGAAGTGGATTTGTTAGATGACCATGTTTGGCTGAAAGGCTTCCATATTTGTCCATGCTAATCATTATCCCAGCAACTGAATTTTGTATGTCTTTTGGATAGAAATAGCAGGCCAAATTTACCCAATGTGGTATCGTGCTTTATCTATGTAAATGGTCATGGCATCTAAAATCCATATTACGAGCGTACCCTCTGTGTGTCTTTTGGTTGGAGCAGAGTGTTGGAAATCGAGAAGCACCTTGAATGATTAATTTTTTAAAGCCAAGGTTATTTTTGTAATAGCACCTTTTTATCTCATCTATATTTTACCTACACCCAAACATAGATTTCATAAAAGTTATTTAATTTTTCAGTCTAAATTTTTTCCAACCAAATAACTTTTTTTATATTTTCCTATCAAACATAATCCTCCAACCATTTCCCTATGAATAGCATTTTCCTATTATTCATAAAATTTCTCCTCAACCAAATTCCCTAATAAATAAAATAAGGTCTGGTGTGTATGATTGCGTCATTCGTATATTAAAAGAGTTTCGATTTTCTTCCGTACGAGTTTTATTGAATAAAATATACAGAACATTTGTGTTACCAGAATTTTATTTTCTTGTAATGATTGGATTGCTCGAGTAGCCAAACAGAATCGGCCTTTCCAAAATAAAGAATACCGAAGAGAATATTTGTATATGTGTGCATGGGTGAGTAAGAAAAGAGTGGTGCACCATTTGTGTTATTGGGGTGATATCATGTGGCGAGCAAGCCCAAAAATTTAAGTGGTTCCAAAAAAAATTGATATTTTAAATTATCAAAATATATATTGTAATTACACAAATTTATCAGGAAAAAAATTTACTATGAATTTTAGCATATTTATTTAAATTATGTACCAAATAATATCACATAATATTGAGAATTCAAAGAAATATATTAAAGCGAACATATAAAACGGCACTAACATTTCTGGTAAGCATTTCTGTAACACCCCATTCTAGAACCGGTTTGTTAACATTGTTTTATGATATTAAGCGCAGTTACAATCATATTGGTTCAATTAGAAACATGGATCATTTTTTTCTTTTTAAAACCTTGCTTATTTTCCTTACAAACAATCTGAATTTAAAATAACCAATTACGTGATTATAACCATGTGAAGTTGCAGACTAACAAAAACTATACTTAATATCATAAACTTTCTTGATTAGACCTAATTAAATGGTCTCTATTACTTATTTTAAGAGATAATAACTTTTTCTCAAAACTGAGGTTGGGCGCTTAAGCCCATTTACTGGGCGCTTAAGCCCCCTCGGGTAAAGGATTTTTAAGTTTCTGTTCAAAGAGAGGGCTTAAGCCCCCTTACAGGGCGTTTAAGCCCCTTGTGCGCGCTTAAGCCTCCATTTTGGGCGCTTAAGCCCCTAGCGACTGAAAGTTTCTCCCTGCACAGGTCCTCCAGGGCGCTTAAGCCTTCTCTTTTGGGCGCTTAAGCCTCATTTTTCGGGTGCTTAAGCCCCCTCCACCGGTGCAAAACACTAATTTTTCTGTTTTCCTTTATTTCTCTTGGGGAATTAAGTCCCGCCATTCTCTAACTTCTTGGTACCAAATTGACAAGGGATAGCCAATCATGGCCACACACCAATGGCTCTACATCCCACATGCAATTCACCAACTTATCATTCAACTCAAAATGAGAAAACATGCTTCACATTCCATCAATGTTACAATGACTCATTTCCATCATGCCCAAGGACTTAGATACAAAAGGGACATGATCAAAGCAATTAGCCATATACACCAAGGCATTCACCACCACAATGATCATGCACTAAGAGATTTTTTTGGTGTAAAGTGCACCGCACCATGGGTACAAGATCGAAAAGAATGCATTGATTGCATTTCAAGTGAGATGTCCAAGAGAAAAGGAACAAGGGGAAGAAGAGACGAGAACAGAAAATCGTCCATCCGAATATATATAAAGAATAATCTGTTAAGACAGAGTTTGTAGTAGTTTCATTTCCACCAGCTTACACAGACTCTTGAAAGATTCGGACTCATGAATTTGAAAAAAAAAAAGCTATCTATACGCTGCTTTCCATGAATTGCTCCAGATCTGGTGCACACCAGTTCTCTCTAGAAAGAGAATGTTCACTAGAAAGCAAAGACCAGCTAAGAAAATAGTGAGCTAATCAAGGTCGGGACCAACTGAGCTATACACCCCAAATATATAAATATAGTAGTGAATAAAGATTGGGGCAGAAAATGTTAGTACATAGGTGTCCTAGAGACAATCTGAGAGTTAGATGGATCCATGTACTTCTTTATTAGTTATGAATAAATTTTATGAATAAAAGCATTATTTATCTTGTTTCATATTGCATGTCTCAAATATTGATTGGAGGTAGTTGAAGACCTGAAATGGACTTTGTGCATAAGTTAAATGTTGCTTATAATCATGAATTAAATTGATTGAGCTCATAAAAATTATTGTGAAAAAGTTTGATAACTTAGTGAATTTTTAGATGAATGAGCATGATTTTGAGTAATAGGATTGTTGGATGCTTGTGAAATTGAGTTATGGATTAGTTATATTAGTTAATTACATGATGTGTGGTGCATTGGATGTATGAAAAATCAATTGAGAATCCTTTGGTTTAGGGCCTTGAAGAATTCGACCATTTAGAGTATTTTGGAGCTTGAGTGTGCAAAATTATATAATTGAATTGATTGATGATTTGAATCAAGTTTAAATGGATTGTATGAGTGCGACATGCATGTGAATTGAGAAAAAAATCCCTTGACTCGGAGTTAATGGGCATTCGGCCATATAGGGGAATTTAGGGTGAATATGTGCAATTAGATGTTTAGTTTGATGAATTGAGTTGTTGAGTGTTTCGATGAAGTAGTGTAGGCTTGAGTGAGTGCCTTGAACCTTGACAAGGAAAGAAAAATTCCCTAGCCCCATTGGTGTGGTATATTTGGCCACATTGGGGCTTTGTGGGAAAAATTGTGCTAAGTTATGAATTGATGAAATTGTGAGATAGATATAGTGTTGAGATTGGTTAAGGAGACCATAAAATGATGAAATGAAATTAACAACATGAATGGGGTGATTTGGCCCTAATGGCCAAATTGTAACATGAATGGGAGAGAGTACATTGTTTTGCATTGTGACTTGTTTAACAAGTGGATTGATGATCATATGCTTGTGATTATTGTAGGTTGCCTCCCACAGACGAAATCCTAGAAGATTGGAGCTTGAAGCTTGTGAATTGCCTTTGGTCCTTGACCAAAAGGATATTGGTAAGTGATTAATCACTTGTATGTATGATTGTATGGATAACCAAATGAGTTGTCTTTGTGGCACTAAATGATGTGGAAATGACCTCTTGTGTGGGCATTTCTTTGATGAAGAAAGTTGCGAGGTAACTTGTGATTGAAGCAACCTAACTTGGGAGCTTCAAAAAGATAATATCTTGGTACCAGGGTTAATCCCCGTGTACCATGCCCATTAGGGTAGTGGTTGGAAGTTGTTTGATGCAATAATGTATAGATTATAACATGATCATGCATGTGTTTGTTGAATGGTACATGTGAGTTTGTACCGTATCTTTGGCTAATAGATAGTTGTTGTATACCGTAGGGGACTTCCACTGGAGAGGCCTCCGTGGGAGTTCCAATTGGCCAGAGGCCATAGAGTTGTGATCCGTTGAGGAGCACTCTAGGAATGTCTCTGGAGATATAGTTGTGGGTGCCTTGAATGATATCTCGGGGATACATTCTTGGATGAGAGCCCGATTGATATGTCGTATCTCGTATGCCGTGTAGGCCATTGGGCCATGTGATTTTTATGATATGTGTATAGTTTCATTATTGTCATCTTGCATCTATGTGAGTCATTGGGCGGAGTAATCCTCCAGAGCCTTTGGATTACTGAGATATATTCGTATATCTCATCCCGCGTTATGAGGCTATGTTTTAGGTGGTTGTAGCGGTGCTGGAGTCTTGGGTAAGAGGCCCACAGGTTGAGGATGTGGAGAGCATGTTGGAATGTATGATGATAGCATGCCATTTTGCATTTTGGGATGTATTTTGTAGGCGAGACTTAGTACAGGAACATTTTGTATTGCATGAGTTATGTATATTATGCATGTTGTTGTTCATGTAGCATTATTTTGGCTAAGTCTAGCATTGATTTAATTATTGTTATTTGGAGCATTTGATTAGTAGTTATATTTGGTATTGGATAAATGTAATTAAAGAATGATGGATCTTGCGTAAGTTAATGATGCATGATGTGATGAAAGGGCAATAGGCCTATTCTAGGTTAAGATATTATCCAATGATTTTAAAGGCATGTAATTGAATTATATGATTGAAATGAGTAATAAGTTGTAAATGGATCAAGTAATGGATTATAAATTAAAAATGATGCAAATATGTTGTGGGTTGTAAGAGCATCAAGGTTTGTTGATCCTTGTGTGCCACCCTTTTCAATTAGGTACAATTTGATGGTTTAGAACACACTTTGATAAAGTGGGATTAGTTAATAAAATAAAAGAGATACCGTCGAATTTTCTAAAAAATGATCAGTTTGTAGGTCAACTTTGGGAGACCATATATCCTTGCACAGATGTCCAAATGGGACGTGCCATACACCAATTTAAAGATTGAGATGTCATCTTTGTTATCCCAAAATTTGGTTTCATTTAGAGCTGTTGAGCGTTCTATACGTCCAAAAGAGTAAGGACTACTCAAACGCACCTGTGCAGGGGACTACTTCGGGTCCCTCTTTATAGAAATTATATCTTCCTCTTTTCTTATTCAAATTAGGCTTACAATATTTCAAATTGAAGATCAAGGTGTTTAGTATTCTGTATAAATATTTGAGAGCATTTG